GAAGTTTCGAACATGTTGGTGGCATTTTTGTTCTAATTTGGTTCTTGGGGACTTTTTCTTTCTTAACCCAATTAATAATTTTAAAGGGAATTTTAAGGCCTTTAAGGTAGCAAAAATTATGCTACTCATTAGGCAATTATCTCTCCTTCTCTAAAAGCATACAGACTAATTACTTTATTGTTCCCGCGTTCGTTGGTTTCAAATTCTAATTCTACTTCGGTTATCTTTTCATAATCCGCAATTAGGTCCTCCCAGCCACTTTTGACCGCGCCAGAAAAGCAAAAATAAGCGTTATTGGTGTCATTATCAACAATTAGGTAATAAGGGTTAAAGTTTTTATCTTGTTTTTCTTTGATGGTGATATTTTTTAAATTAAGGGTTGGCATATACTAATTTTTTTGTCTTTCTCTCTTTTTTTTAAAATTCCCATTTCCTTAAAAAACAATTATACTAACATGTATACCCTAAAACCACCTTTTAAAGTCAATTGTTTTCAATGTCAAAAAAAGCTGGTAGTTAATTTTTGTCCTCCTCGCCAAAATTATAGCAATAAAAATCATTGAGGTTATTGGACGGACAAAAAAGAAAAGCAAGGTCAATATATTTGCGATACTTGCTTAATTGATATGTATCAAAATCACAAGCAAGTTTATTTAAACTCCATTACTGATAGCAAAAAACGACGAACCTTTCGGGATTATTTTGGTGGTAAAGATAGGTTGCTAACTAGAACTGAATGAAAAGAATTAGAAAGCAACGAAGTCCATGATGCGTTGTTAAAATTAGTTCAAGAAAATTCTCGTCAAGCCAAAAAAATCCAAGAGCTAGAAAAAAAACTCACTAAAAAGCGGAAAAAAAGTTAAAAAACTATCGGAAAATGCTGGTTAAACTATCCATTTTTAAATCTTTTTTGACGCAGATATGTTAACATGTCTGTATAAAATAAATTAATGATGACTGAGATGTGGAGTAAAGTTGAATAATTGTCTAATTCTCCTAACTTATTGTGGTGAAGTTAGTGTAATAGTTGGATGCTAAACTATTCGGGATTAGAAAGAATAATATCAATAAGTAAGTTCGCATTCTTACTGAATTGTTTTAAATTTAAAGCCAGTTATAGTTCTGTAAAAACTGGCGAAATAACCTTTTAAAATATAAGAAAATTACACAAAATTAAAAGTCTTATGGTAAAAAATGATAATTTAATACCCATAGAAAATAAAAAACCTGTTGAGATAGTTCAAGAATTAAAAAGCGATTATGAAATTCCCTCGTTTGAGGAGTTTATGAAAACTTATGAGGGTGATGATAAAATAATTAACAGTTATGAGGATGAATTAAAAGCAAAAGCAATTCAAGGTCCCCAATATGGACCAGGTAAAAGTGATTTTAGGGGAATTTGTAGAAAGATTAAAGATGAGATAGGGTTAACGATTAGTTGTAGAATTTCCTGCGATAGTGATTATTTTTACGAAAGCCATACATACTGCGGGGTAATTGTTTATTTGGTAAAAGGAAGTCCTACATGGAAAGTTGAAGCGGGTAGAGCATGCGACCGCAACGGCAGAGCTTTTTATGTGATTGTGAGAGATACTACTGATTGGGATTGAAAATACCCTGAACGCTCTGGGGTTGGTGGTGGTATTTATCATGGTTGACTTGTCAAAGATGAATTTGGATTCGATTTAAGTAGTGATTACAACAAATACACTAATAATATTATTTGTTGCGGAGGTTTTGCTTGAATGCCCAATCGTTCACCTCGTATGCAATATACTAGTCGTAGTTTGAATATGGTAAACCAATTGGGGGGCAATACCGATGGCAAACCTGAATTAAGTCCAGAGGAAAAAAAGTTGGTAGATTTTTGTTTTGATGAATATAAAAAACACGGACCAAGTCATACAATTCCAGACACATATTATCACATTCCATAATTAAGTTTAATTTAAAGTAAAAAATTATAATAATTATAATAACTATGTATACAATATATAAAAATAGAATAAATCAAAATAAAATAAGATATCGGTTTATGAAACCCGATAATAGCAATTTAACTTATGCGGAGTTTCTTAACCTTTTAACAAGTAGAGATAATGATTTTTTAAAGACATTTAGGGATGTATTGACTATAATAAAAGCGGAGTTAAC